AATGCCGGCTTTAATGAAAACGGCGAAACGCAGCCATTACCCCGGAAGATCAATCTCAGATAATCCCTTTAGCATCGCGACACGATTTTACTTTGCTGTTACAAACGCAAACGCAAAAGTGGGAATCAAATTGCGGAGAAAAAGGTACGATTCAACTTCATCGCGAGTGCGTGAAATTAATTTCTTCTGGGAGGCTATTAATGACGTTTCTCTCTTGAACCTGAGATAATTTTAATTTTAACGTCGGTCTTTCGCGAGCTTCGTTACGATGCGTTTCATGCGCATGCATTTCAGATTCTGATTCGTATCTTTCAGCGGCAGACGTGCAACCTTTGTTACTCGTGCGCATATAAGCCCCATCGGGCATGTGCTCATAAAGTCTAGATTATTCTCGCAAACGCCACGGCTACGTGAGCATTAAGAAACGCGCGGGCACAAAGCAACCGAAAGAAAACCGTGCGCCGTTACAATTCACGTGATGTAACCCGGAGGCGCTGTTAAAGCAGATATTACGGGAACGTTGTTTTAACATCAGCTATGAGCTGTATCCCAAGGCAGAAACCTTTTCCGCTGTTGTTTTGAATTCTGCCTTTGCTCCTCGTATCATGTAAGCCATCCAAAACAATGTTACGGTGGAGTTACATTGTTTTTCTGGGGCCTCGCGAGGTAAAACGCCAAGGCGAAGAGCCGTGTAAAAGTGATACAACGAGAAATCTTCCTTTACGAGAAGTAGGAAGTTCCGACTAATATTATTTTTCGCGAGTGCTGTGCCAGCGTAATCCGCGTAAATAAAGATTAAGATTCAAGAAAGAGTAAAATTAGTTAATTCTGCAACATCTCGCGATTTTCGCTTAAAAAAACGAACAACGTTGCTGAAAAGGGAACGGTGCATAATTAAACTGCGAGATATTTCCCTGAATAATTTCGCAAAAGAAACTTTGTTTCAAAAATATGTGCGCTTACGCGTGCACAGCCTGCGTACCAATGTCCGCGCCGGAAATGAGGATTTACACTGTTCTTAGTCAGCTGGCGGGTATAAATTCTGTGTGGACAGAATTATTTCAAAAAATATAATTACACGCGCGCGTACCGGTCCACACGGCACCGCAAGCTTCATTATTCTCGCGTACTTTCATCGTCACTGAAAGTTGTCGTTCGCACCGTCGAGAAATATGAGCAAACGAGAGTAGCATAAATCCCATTTTCCTGGCGTTTTCTCATCCATTTAGCGCTGACAATGCATGGTCGTATGTATAAAATATTTGTAATAATAAAATATTGTTTCGCACGTACTTGTGACTTGTGACGTTATTATTAACCGTCGAAATGTATTTTTTCCTGACTGACATGAGAATAATTACGCGGTAGTTTCAATTGAAAGATAATTCATGTTTTCAGTTCTAAGATTTATTCGAAATATTTAACGTAAAAAATGATCAGTGACGGTTCTCAAAGTTGTCCCTGGAGAAAAATTTTTATCAATTTGTGGCTACATGATAACACACGAAAAATGTATGTAACTGATTGTGAGAGATGTATATCCCAGTGTTTCTTTCGTCACGTACGAATCAATCCTGGATACGCCGCGAAACCGCGCGATCGAAAAATTCCCGGCATGCAGGAGGTCCGTGTTTCCTCGCGGGAATGCATATTACACATACGGTTTCCCAATCGTTTCCCATTGTCGCGAGCGCGTCTGCCCGCGCGGGATTCCGGTCACGATCGGCGATCGCACAATGGGATCCTTCAGAAATTGCGGGCAAATCGCCCTTATGGCCGCGGCCCGCGGCCCCGGGCCCCGCGGCAAACATTGTTCGTACAGGACGAGCCGTTCGCGGTGAAAAGGCGGAGCACAATGCACGCGGAACGGCAGCGTAGATGCGCGGAGCGCCGCCGTGCGAACGACGAACAATGATCTTCCGGTATCTGTACGGACGTGCATAAATCATTGATATGACGTTGGCCAATCGTCGCCGAGCTGAACCGATGCGATGCGACGCAGCCTCGACACAACGGCCTTGAAATATCGCCCGCGCAAACCAGCCCACCCTGACGATTAACTCCTGTCACCGATAATGATTGCCTTCGAAAGGTTTATGGAGGCCGCCGTCATCGTCCGTCCGAAATCTATTGCCAATTACAATTATCAACGTCTCCGTTCTGTAGACCCGTCGTGGCGTCCCATCGCCTCCGACAATCAAGCGAGAATAAGCGAATCAAGGCCCCTCGTGAAACCTAGCCTGCGATTTACACGATGAAAGGATTTGGGTAATTAGCGCCAGCACTTTTTTCGCGATATGCGGTGCTCGTACATTATGTCGGTGAAATTTTAACGCGGACGGGAGATGCGAATTTAATTAAACGGTACTATATTTAGCGCGCTAATTAGCGCTGGAAAAAGACGATTTGCAGATAAAACAATAAAGCTGTAAATAATGTAAGGTGTACAAGTGTAATCAGCGCGCTTAATAATTATAAGCCGTTCAGTATTAATTTATTATACGTTTGTTATCAGTAATTAATTTATTGTAGTTAAAAAATTCACAAAATTACTTCCCATAACATAAATTTGCATGCGAAAGGTAGAGCTTAATAGGGTCGAAATTTATAAGCGCGCATCACACTGTAACATTTTATATAGTCATTATACGTTCGCGTAAAATGCAAAACACTTCTCAAAAAGCTTCGAGAGCCGGGCTCTCGTAATAAAACGTAATAACGTATAAATCAAAAAAATGTCAGGGCCAATAAAATTCGATTGAAACAACTTTGGCACATTTGTTAAAATCCCCACTTCGATGCATTTAGAGACTCGGGTGCGCCGCGTTGCGCAAAATGCAAAATACAAAACAGTGTAATGCATCAATAAACCCGACACGACCGGTATGGATACGAGCAACAAAATGTAACTACCGTACAACTGGTATTTTCGAAAAAAAAAGAAGGAAAACAAGAGGAAAACAACGATGATGCAAGTTTTACAGCGCGACGTGTTTCGGCAAATTCTTTCGTTACTATCAATCAGCATACATCGTGCATTTCAGTTATTTTGCACACAAAATACATCCGTCAGATATAATTTTTATTCACGCGGGGGCAGCGATAATGCGCGCGATTGTTCGCCCAGCGATCATCGCGGCGCTTTATACACCGAAATTTCATGTCATGCAACGTCCATTATTCTCGGTTTCACTATACGGAAGTTATTGGTAAGTAAGACGGTCCGGACCCGAGCATTATCTACGAACAGTAGTTCTCCATGGACTGGGGGCTTTAACTTCGGAGTCGGCGATCCTCGCCACAAAGCGAGGACGATAGTTTGGCTCGGTCCAATGTGCTAGTTCGATTAGTTACATGACTCGTACCACGGCTTATGGTTAACGTTGAACGCTTAAAGCCAAACGCCCGCTGATCGTCCGCTGCATATGTATGCGTCCTGCAGCGTTTCGCAGACGATCCTATGATCTGTCCAAGTCTTTCGAAACTCCCCTAACGATATCGCTTGCCGTACTGAAGCGGCGAACTACGGAAAACTATCTCCATATTTCTGTGAAAGTTTGTTCATTGAGGCCGAAAGAAAATCCTAAGTAGGAAGATACAAATCTCCTATAAATGTTCAACAGAATTTTAGTCATTAGTCATTATTTACGAATAATAGAAACTTTACGTGTCTGGTTAAAATTTACTTACATTAATATGTGTAATCGTCAGAATACTCTCGACGTTAATTAATTATTGCAAGATTAAGATATGCCATCTTCCGGCATATCAGAAGACGCGAGGTATTCAAAATTGCAAGCAATTATTTTCTCGCGTCGCACAATAGCCGACGGTTTCGCCGTGAGAAACAATGCGCCGTGTAAAATAGGAAGTCGCAAATAATAGTCGAAAAAATTCGGTTAACGGAACAGAGAAATGATCTGACACGTGAATTTATCCGCCGTCAGAAATTAAAGCGGACGTAGCCAATTTTTCTCGCTCTCTCGCCTCGGCCTGAAAGAAAAGCTCGCCTTTAACAGCACGCGAGACAAAAATTTCAGCGAGCTCGTTTCTCATCCGCGGCTGCGCCGACCAGCCGCCGCTTTTCTTTCGGTACAGCCCGGCGCGTAACAAACGATTCGCGGTGTGTCGACTTTCAGCGGAATTTTCCTCTTATTACCATCGCACCATCGTGTATATTTAACATCCGCATAATACGATCCCTAATATACACCGAAAAGGGGTAACATTTGAATTGGCAATTATCGAAATCGATCGAGCGATTACATAAAAGGGCATAATTAAAAGGGGATTATATAATTCCCAAATCAATTTTTAATCCATTTTCTTTATATAATCATGTAATTAGACGCGGAAAGTCTCCTGTTATATTAAATAATTATCGTTATTATATGATAATATTCCATGTTTTAGAACTGCATTATAGAACTGTTCGATATATTATAGAACTACTTAAAAGAATTTGAGGATAAAAGAGATAATATAGTACGTGAACACTTTTTCAGTTTAAATATTTAAAATGCTATAAAAAGATAATTATATATAAGATCATTTGTTATAATTAGATAATTATCAAATTATTTATCTAATTCGAAATCAGATGGCATTTCTTCGTGTCGTTTTTTATTTTGTTTTAATGATGGACAAAGCTGGAGTGACATAAGCACCCTTTTTGCTAGATAAACTATATTGACGAATCTTACTAGAAGTTATAGCTCTACAATGTTTCTCGCAGAAACATGATTAAATTTAGTATTCTGCTACACAAATATATTTTATAAAAATTTCAACAAAATTCTTTCCTACTCAATCTAATATGCTAATATCTGCACGTATTTCAAGAATATTTAAGTTCTTTTACTTAAGTTCATTACTTAAGTTCAGACGCCAGAGTTATTTGTTTCCATTATTTCGTGAGAGAGAATTTCGTGGACCAGCCTCAATTTCTACGTCGCCGGAGATTGCTTTTTATTAAACTGCTTCAATTGTATTTGTTGCAGGTACCACTCGAGAACATTGTCCAGCACCCGCCGTTGTCGCCCACGAGCAACGGAGACATTCCCAACAGCCTGGGGCTGCGATTGATGATCGAGCCTCGGCATTTCACGATGGGACCGATCCAAGGACAGATCAAGATCAAATGCATCGCCGAAGTCGGCTCGCGCGTATTCGATTTCGAGCGTAAGGTGTTGAAGGCATACGTAAACAACCAGAGGCTCAGCGCCGGCGATATATATGTACACGCGGCTGCACACAGCATCCGCGCCGGCATCCTCGCTCCACTGCTGACGGCGATCCTCGCGCTCGTTTTGCTCACAACGTGACCTATCGGCCTCCTCGCGTGAGTCGGCCTCCTCGCATGGGAATTACGTTGTGGCGCGCGCTCCAGAAACGCGCGACAGGTTCAGTGTCAGTTGTCCGATCCTTAAATATAAAGTTAGGCTTAGCGATTAAGCGACGATAGGCGAATCATCGGTCGATCAGCTCGCTCTCGGTCCAACCACGTTTTCACGTTCAGCGATGCATTACTGTCATATTTTCTTGTCAACAGATTGCTCAGAAAACCTTAAAAGGCACGTGAGAAAATCTCGTTGAGATAAGACGATCGTATATAGCGATTATAAAAGAATAAATTTCTGTTAATTATTATGACGCATTAATTATTTAGTTATGTTAATTATTATATCTTATTTTATTGTCATGTAAAAATTATTATATCTCTTTTTAGTATACATATACACTTCATATGAAGAGTGAAGGGATCGTTTTGGGGTCAATATTATCGTGTAGTAATTTTGATAGGAAATGATTAGACAAACGCACCTTCGCATATTTAAGAAATTTTTTAGATCAGTATTTCCCGTGTTAGACAAATACTTATTTGAAAATTTCCCCGTAATTTTCATGGAGGTTTCTCTCTTCCTTTCTCTTTTTCTCTTTCTATCTCCCTTCGATTTCTCCTTATCATATTTAACCCCTAATCTTTTTAACGAGTTCCAGATCCGGGAGACTCTTTAAAGTTCCCTTCGATTTCGGCTCGCAATCATTAACTTCTCATTGAAGTTTCAAGATTTTACGGTTAAATGTAAATGTCACGAGTCAGATAGCCCGGTCATAAAATTGTTAAATAGTAATGAAAAATTTACAATTTTTAACCTCGTATTCTCTTAAATTTGTTAAGATTTCAAGCTTTTTCGACGTTTAAATAAAGTTTAATGTAAATTTGGAAGGTCGTGCTTAATCCGCGTTTCACTGTATTCTCGTAATAAAGTCCGTTCTATTTTAAACTCCGACAATTACCGTCGTGGGGTTTAGACAGAACTAGCCGTACTTCATATAGCATGCATGTCGTACCGCGGAGATATAAATTCTGGCGTAGCGCGCGTGCAAATTCCGTTTTACGACACGCATGAGATTAACTACCGAAACGCGTATAAGTCACTACACCACGGCGAAATGCGAATTACGTATAAATCGATAAATGGATTTGCCGTACCGGCATCAACAAAACGAGATTAATAATTCAGATATCTCACGTTGCAAAATTGCAAATGCGCGGTTGCACAGTTATATAGGTACAAATAATAACTTTATTGAAAGAGAGGCTCCCTTACAGGATTGCGTAAAAGTTTAAACTCGTGATTATTTCGACAAAAACAATTTGCATCCAACCTGAATAATGACTAAATAACGTTGAAAATCCAACCCAAAGCGATACATTCACGTCGTCGTAATGAAAACACATAATGTTGAATCCAAAATTAGTATACTAATATTATATTACAGCGCAGCATTCGTTCAACGGAAATTTCCAATTAACAATTCAACTTTCGTATGTTTCCCCCATTCTTTTTTCAAATATCGTCACGCAATATGGCATTCTGTCCGCGAATAAATTTTAACGCATGATTATTGTTTCATCGTAAAATTGCATAGAATTTTTCATAAACGCACAATTCGACGAAATATTTGGCGATCTTTGGACGCGTCATCACGTACGATCGTCCGACGAATCCGACAGATTTTCACTTTGCCGGGTGCAACCGTTTCACGTGTTTCGCTGCCTGACAACAAAGGGCGTGTGGTCACGAGAAGCGAGCACGGACGTACGAAGAAAAGAAGAAAATCCTGAAAGAGAGAGAGGATTCCGCGAGAGGCGGTGACCATTCGACCGCTCTTCGGAGAAGACGCTATAAAAAGAGACGAGGAAGCGTGACAGGAAAGTAAGAGAGTGCGCGTGAGAGCAGGTGTGAGACAGAGAAAGTGAAACGAAGTTGAATCGTGCAGCCGCAAAGAGGAAAAAAAATGCAGGGCAAGCAGGGAGAAACGTTATGTGTGACCGAAGTGGAGACGCGAAGTTTGACTTCAAGAATGAAAGTAGGTGTGATATTATAGTATCTAAGGTGCGACTCGTCGGTCTTCCAAAGTGGCCACTCCCGTCTTTGATTCTTTGCCTTGAAAATATTTAACTACCGTACAAGTTTTCTATCGTTGAGTAATTATTTTCTTGAGCGAAATTTGCGCGATAAACGCACGAATTTATGATGTTATATTCTAAGAGATATACACTTTTTCGCCTCATTCAAAATTTGTACAAATTTCAATGATAGGATGAGTCGAGACGGCGCATTTAAATTTTATTTGAATTATCGAATCAATTCTATTCACAGACATAGGATCATTTTTCGCTTGATGCAACACGCAAAGTTGCAAATTACCGAAGATGGCCAACTTTCGAAGAAAGCGAGTGACTAACGGAAATAAATGAAAGCGTGCTTTAGTGAAAACAAGAGGATGAACGCGACTGGCCTCGCCGCACATATCACATCACCGACACACGTTACCATGTGCTTAACACACACAAATACATCACACAACCCATACACATTACCAATGCGCGCATGAGCGCACGTACGTCTGGATTAAGAGATGGAAGGAGCTGCCATCTCCCCCGCAGGGTGCGCAGGATACACATATATCACGAGACGGTTTCCTTTTGATCGCTATCGCTCATCGACTCGAGCATTATTTATTGGCTGTAATAATTTACGAGTTCACGAGAGGGACACGCTCTGCAACGCGCATAAATGTCGCTTCCGGTATTCGGCGATATTCGGCTGAATTTTTGTGCCTGTATGTGTGTATGCGTAACATTTGCCTGGATCCATTCGCGGAAAATTACGGCGTACGTATTTAAAAGCCATTCCCAAAGTGCCAACTGCCAAGAACACTCTCCTTACGTATAATTTTTCCGATTGGATATATTTATGCGCGCGATATGAGAGAATCGTTAGAAATGACGATAAACAGCAGTTTATCGTGTCTATTATTACTTAAGATCTGTTAGATAATAAAATCCTAGTCGTTTAAGGTAATCCTATTAAGTATCAAAGTTTGATTACGAAAGAATGATAAACTTAGCAAAGTATTTCGATGAAACGAGAATCGTATAAAATTCACTTCCATGATTTTAAATATATGCATACGTACTTCACTTTAAAATATTTCTTCTATTCTTTAACATTTAAATATTCGGTTTTACAAGGCTACATTTTGACACAGCTAAAATTTCCGGAGAATAATTTTATTCTTGTGAGTCAAGCAAGATACGGATTTATCACGTAGCTTCATTAAAGATAAATCGAAACGATTAAAGTTTGCAATAAAAACAGTTCGAAACGTTTGGATTGATGCATCTCTCAATTAAAGCATCGTTTTGTAGCCATTATTGCATTTATGAAATTATTATTTTTTGCAATTTAAACATTGCAGAGAAAATTCACTACTAATTCAACATCAGCACAGTTAATTTCTCCAATTGAGCAATTTACGTAATCATGCATTATTTCGCGCGATTTATTAGAACAAATATTAAGTGTTATTATCGTTCGAAACTCATTTTCCTAATTAGATAATTTAATTGAAACGGTGTTTCTTTCTCTATAAAATATCAATACTGTCTTGTCCTATTTTCGAACATCATGTGACGATGTGCACGTACACATTTAAGCGTAATCGAATGATATCCGTTTTACTATGATATCCGAATTGCATCAGAATTATAATCGTTTCAATCGCAACAAATATCGCGGAGCGTTACGTCCCCATTGCCGAAAGTTCTTGTATTTGCTTAACGTTATTGATGTCGCGAAACACAGCTGGTCCCAGGTGAACGCCTAAATCGACAGTGGTAGAAATTTTCTTCGCCGCGACCTCGATCGACCGATATCCCAATTTTACGGGCCGTCGAATCGCGAAAGCCGGAGGCAGGTTCGAGGATCTTCTTTGGTGCTGGCTAGATCCTTCGCGTTCTCCAGAAAGACTTAAATGGATTCCTAGCGGAAACTTAGACGCGGTAAACGATTCCTGTTTCGACGACGAAAACTACTCTCTTCAAAATTTCCGTGCAATTTTACAAAATTTCTGTATTTCTTTGCAAGATGAGAAACCGGAAAGTTTTTCAATCGAGTTTATTATTCGCGCACAGAAATCAAATGTATCTTTTGACATGAAAAATTATATTGAGATTTATCGAAAAGAAATATATATATACGAATTCATGTAGCATAAATTTGGAGTTAACGTTAATTGAAAAAAAAGGGATTTAATATAAATTTTTTGTAAACTTTATGTTATCTAAAAGAAAACTGTGGTATGAAGAATAAGAAACTAAAAAATTTATCTGCAGTAGTATTTTGATAGTGCAGGTCGATATTTCAATTTCACAGTCTGTCGAATACCAAAATTCGGAGACATGCAAGATTTCAACTAGGGAATGTTCTCGAGATCCTGCTTGGATCCCACAAATTTGCGTCTCGTCGTGAAATCCTTTACTGGATTTCCCAAGGAAACTTTATCTCTCTCCATGCGTTGTTGAATCTTATTTTTACGGATGTAAGCAAAGCTCAAAACAATGCATCCTGGAATATTTACGATCCTTGGCTATTTTCGTTGTTTGCCATTAATTAAATATGAACTCATGTAAAATTCATATCTCAAACACGAGGGAGATTTGATATCTCAACATATTCTAATTCTCCTAAATTCTTCGATTTTCTATGTTTCTCAATTTCATGTAAAAAATAAAGGAGAGATGCATAGCTGAAAAATACGCGTCTTTATTATAAAATAATCTTCGTCAGGAAGAGTGAAACCTTAGCCATCCAAGTAGACACTGCCACGATAATTATTTAATATGTCGAAAAGTATATTTTATAAGATCCTTAAGATGATTTTAACGAGTCCGTGTTCAAGTTTTTATCAAAATCAAATCACATATTCATAGAAACATATTATAATTACAACTAAAAAAAAATATTACAATAGATCCCAAAGTCCCTAGGTCTAAAAGTTACGTATGTTAAAATCAATCTATGAGAGGAACACAAGAAAATAAATTCAAAGCTATTTTTTATTCCTAAGTCGCGCGAATTTACATATGCCCGCACACGTCGTTCGGGTTAACGCAGTCGTATACATTCCTTCTGTTCGCCGAACTATAAGTGTGTCAGCGAATCCGATAAAATCGTGGATCGAAGAGCAAAGCGGAATCTCTTTGTCCGGGCACGATCGATATTTCGATTTTATGGAACGACGAGCAACCGAGAGCCCACGAAAAGCTATCGTACTCGAAACGCGTTCTCTACTTCGCACGTTTTACCGATTTCTTTCGTTACTCGTTACACACGAATTCCGCATAGCGGTAGAAAAGAAACTACGACTTCAAAAAGTTGTAAAAAAAACGTACGTTTTTACATACGTTTTTTTTTTGCAGCTTCGCGTTGTATTCTCGCGTAATTTCAGTCACGATTGATTAGGCGAGTTATCGAATACGTGTCCATAGATCAAATAGCGAAATTTTCAACACGAACACCCTGCGGACGCCACGCGCGATGTGGCGATAGTCACACACGTACACGCTCACTTACACAAGTATACGTAGCACACACAAAACGTACGCTGCCGGTCTACGAGAGCGTTAGATAGGAAATAAAGGGCCCCTCTAGCGATACGGAGTTTAACATGTAAATCGATAAAGTATTAATTTAATTAATACAAGTGTTAATCCCTCTGTAATTATAGAAGAGCGCCTTCGCGAGCCACGATCGAATCTCGTTAGTACGTGTAGCGTATTCAAAAGGTATTCATTCGATGTAATCGTGGATCGCGAAGGTCCGCCGGCACCTGAAGGAGGGAAGGGAGGTTCACGAGATTACGTTCGAGTTGGATTAAACTTTCCTGAGCACTCGAGATCCCCAATTATCCTCCATTGCGTTAAGAATTGTCAGTTTTCCGAAGGAGCTGGGCGACTTTCCTAATAAAATGAATTAACGTCTCTATCTACTTTCTTCCGGATAGTAAAAATTACATCAATTCACAGTAATTTGTTCTGCGATAAGTTCAGATCGATCGAATGGTTTCGGCCAACCATGTAGAATTATCGAGTTCACAAGAAAGACGGGACTGTATAAAATCTGTCAAAAATTGGACAAGCAATAGTATAGTCAACAGAATCCAACGCGAACGGATCCACCTTCTGCTCGTCGCATTTCGTATTTTCAAGCTCACGGATGCACTATTGCGATTTGTGGTAACTCAAATAAAAATTATGCTAGGGACACTGTAGCGGTAAACGTCATCACGATGAAAGATTAAAGTAATACTTCTTAAGAAACTCACATGCACAAGATGTCCCGTCGCTCTTCTATTGCTGTCAAATCTTTTATTAAATTTAGGGTATGTTCTTTCTCAGTAAAAATTAAAAAGTTTCATTTTATATCACAAATCGATTTCAGTTAAATCAAATAGATTTTCTCTTACCATGAGACTTCATTAATAATTATTAAAATTAATTTGAATTAATATTAATAATTGCTTTTAATTAATGCTAATCTAATACTAATTATAGAGTATTGGACATTTAATACTGACAATTAAAAGATACTGCGAAATGTCTCATTTTTTATTAAAAAATAATATAGGTAGAGGTAGATGAATAGATCGAGAAATTCATATGACGCAGAATGTACTCCATTAAGAGAGGAAGATAGCAACGGGACATCTCGCATATACGTACGTATATACATAAAAGAAGCGATCTCGCGATGCGGAGTACTCAATTAATTATTTCGATTAAGTGCAGTCAGCGATTAGCATAATTGACCATACACCATGGCGTGAACGTGGAAAGCGAGAACGAGTTACTCTTCGTGCAATGTAAGTATAGATAATGTAAGGAGCCCCAGGAGAGAGAGAAAATCTCTCCGACCGCGTGTGTAAACATGCGGGCACTATGCGTGCGGCGTATATGCACGCCGACGCGACGTGCCTGCAAGGCGGTTGGAGCTTTAAAGTGCAATGCACAGAATCGCGTGGACGTTTATGTACGTTTATGTAAGTAATATATTAATTGTAAGATAAATATATTGAGAAAGAAAAACGAGAGATTCAAAGATTATATATATATAAATATAAAAAAATATAGATATACATATATATATATATATTATTATATATTGCAATAATTGCCACTGTAAGTTGTCGGAGTGTTTCACGCGTACATATATAAATATATTATATATATATCATTGGATATATTTTATAGGTTAGACCATACGTTTTTGCTAAACTGGCGAATCGAACGACGAAGTTATTACGACAGCATACAACTTATCGATTATCTCACGATTATCGGGAGGACATTTAATTTTCTATAGCTTTTCCTCGGCACATCCATCTATTACTGTGTTTACTGTGATATGTGTTATTTGTCGACGTTCATACGATTTATATCCGCATACGTTTCTCCGGTAAATTACGGATTCATTCGCTCGTCTGTATAGATTCACCTAGATTTATGTCACGTCGAAATAGCTGTGATTTACTGATTGATTTGTGAACCTTATTCTCTTAGGGAGATTACTACGATATAGCGTACTAAATAAATTGGACGAATTAAACATAACTTCGAATATCATAAACGTACCAATTTTATATTTCTTGTTCCTCATCCAAGACTTCGCTCAAATTCGCACTACAACTCCTTCGAGATTAGAAACACAATTCTATTTTTAACTTTTCAACGTGGTTATAAATACAAAATGTAAATTCTCAGTCCTGCTTTGTTACTTTTATGTTCTGGGTCGCAGAAACTTGAGAATAACAACGGAACATACGCAAAAAATTAATCGCACAAATACTTAATAAAAATTTAGACGTGAATTATTATTGCGTAGAATTTATAACCAATTTATATCCAACAATAATCAGTTTCGTTTAAATGCTAACCTTGATACGGAATAAAATTTCTGCGAGATAACTAGACGGTAGCAGCAGAACCCGCCGTTAAACAAGACCGAAACCGATAAACCAGAATTCACATGTGAGCATGTGTACGTGATGGTGTTACCAAACTCGACTGAGGTCTCCAGTTTCCATGACATTAAGTTAAAAGAGCTCCTTTTACGATACGGCTGGATTTCTGCTCGATGTCTCACGTTATATGCTCCAATTTTCGTCGAGACAATAATTCGATAACAACATGTTACTGCCGTTCGAAATAGAAAGTGATGTACCAACATACGAGAGAGGAAAATATTGGCACTTGGAGCAACATGTTAAATTATATTGATAATAATTAGTAATAATAATTAAACAATAAATAAAGATATACGATTTTTGTGACACTTCGGAAAGTCCAAAATAATGGAAATGTGAAATTATTCTCATATAAGGGCATTTTTTTAGATTTAAAATACTGTGGAAAATTATTATTTGTTAAACACAAGAGTAAAAGCGTAAGATCTGGAGCTTATGATCGAATGGGAATCGAATTAAACTTCTTCAGGATTAATCAGGATTATTTAACGATTAAAATGGCTTTAAATTACGTCGCACGGTGAATAAATTGTCTCAACTTATCGCGGTCGTTTTCGTACGTATCTTTACTGTATATGCCACCTGCGTATGCGCACTTATTGCCACATTGCTCCTTGTGCAAGAAAACGAAATACGCTACTTGGGCAAAACGCAAAATGCCGCCTCGAGCGATCGTAAAAACGGTGAACGTGACCGGAGCATAACGTGTGCGCGCGACCAAGATTACGGGAAGAAAACGGAAGTGGATTCGGCATAATGCGGGCTGGCGCAGACGCTCCTCGGTGTATGCACATTATTTTTGCGCATGGTATCCGCGAAAGGATGTACATTTGCATGCAATTCCGCGCGCGCGCACACATACATAAGCATACATGAACATTTACGTGCGAAGAACGACGCTCGCATCCTGCACACGAATGCAATGCATACGATAAATGCTCTCCCTTATATACACGTACATATGAAACATTGCAGATCCACCGGATGCTCTCTCAACAATGAGTACGAAGAAAATGCCAGTTGTTTCACAATGAGTCGAAGCATCAACAATTATTTAACGGTGCAAATTAAGTAACTTTCGTCAAAATTGAATTTCGGTATTCGCGATCAAAAGTGTTAATACATTTTCTGGTTAATTTTTGGTATATTTTATTTTACAATGGTGGAGTATTTTTGCGTTTTGTACAATCCTTTTAAATTTTATCAAAAAATCTGCGATTAAAGAGATTCGATCTGCGATATTCTATACGTATGACAAAAATATTATGTTTCTATTTTTCTGCACGTTCTGTATTTTTTACGCAGCATTTTATACGTACAATTTCCTGGTGCAGAAAAAATTTTCTCGCGAAAAAAATCCGACCACGATACCAATTACAAAAGCGTCCAAGACAAATTTTTTATCAGTTTACAGTACCACAAAATATCGAAAAGAGCATTATCGGTGATGACGTTAAAAGCATGTCATCGAAAACTCGAAACGCACGATATTCGATATATCTGATTGTGAAAGCATAACACCGTTTTAAATTGCCGCTGTCATTTGCAAATAGTTAAGCTTCTCAACGTTTTTCTTGTATAATTTATCAAAACAATTTATAGATAAATATTATTCAAACAAACTATGATTATTTTCTTTTTAAAAATGTAATCGTTTAGCTTTGAGAAAAAAATATCAATCCCATTTATCAAATGTTATTGATAATATCGAAATATATAAGGTGCACGCTAAATATAAACTAAAATAATATAGTAGCCTTTCCATTATCGCAGATAAAGTTTAATATGAAATAAAAAGAACTCAAATATAAAATCAACCGTAAAACGAGTTTCAAGGTAGTTCTTATTCGGCTAACGTTGATCGTATCATAACAGGAAATAATGCGATAGTGTTTGACAAGTTGTTGCGGACGTGAAAATGGTATAAATTTTAAATATCATCGTGCCACGTCCGACAGCAACGACGTGCGGAAATAAGAGGCTGGAAACGGAAGAACAACAGAGAGAATCGCAAACTTTAACGATACGGCAGAATGCGCAAACTGCGGCAAACTTGTCAGTTGAGTAAAGGCACGAAAAAGTCTGTACCTTAAACTCGCCGAGCGAACGGGTAAAAAGGTCTCCGTTCACCGTACGAAACTTGAAATTTTAAGGGCAAACCGTAAGATTTGCATAACTGGATAAACGTTTCGCGCACGTTTCAGTCGAGCCAGTTAGGGACTTTGCGCGGAAAAAATACGGCTTGTTCCAAGTTTATCGAGCCGTGTAAAATCTATACTGATCGAATCTGGTATTTATATATTAATTCTTAAAACTATTACGTCACGATACTATATATTGGCATATAGTATACAGACATGTAACAACAATTAGAAATTAATCTACAAAAGAGTCAGACTTTGATTAAACACTGCGGATTTTTTTTTTGTAATTTACGTTGCAATTGTCGTTCTTCGACATCGAAGTAAAAAGTAACTGATAAATAACAATCACGTTCGTGAAATACACATTGCACGGATCCGACAAGCAAGTAAGAAAGATGGATGTTGCGATTAATGAGACGTAACAAGTACGACCGGATAACAACAAGTGAAATTGGCCGCAACGATATGCACGCGGTTTTGTATATCGAGCGTCGATTTTACGTCATACATTACGGCGTGCAACGCGCGTTCACGACAGCGGTAGATTAATGACCACGATCTGCATCGAACAGCCGTTTCTTTGGATGAAACGCATCATGCGCTTCATCCAAGATAATCATTCTTTATTTTGTAGATAAATAAACTTGAAATTGCTCCGACTGAAAGAGAACCAATCATGGTAAAGATTAAATGCAAATTTTATCACAGAGAAATTCAAACGATGCATCGAAAACTATAAAATGTTCCGCCAATCCTCTCGCAAATAAATTCTCTCGCGACAGATATCGCGAAATAATTCTTATTCATTCGCGTGCACGGGAAATGAAGCATCTCTGGCGCGCGCGGAATTCATATAATGCGCGTTGCCACAATATATATACATATATATATATATATATATATCTCTCTCCGCGAAAAAACCGCGAAACATCGATAAAGCAAACCGGAGATAATTCGCGCGTACACGCGGCGCGGCGTCTCGACATTGCAATCACGTGTGACGCTATTAAGGTTCGTTTCGCGCGTCAGTATTCATTTAACCGGCTGGCAGCATAGTGGTACAGCATCGGAAATTCCATGTGTTATCCACGTTGACGCGATTAGGATTGTTTCGCTATGCGTTTTCTCGCGGCCGCATGGTCAGCGCGTGTTTTGCCGCGCTTCAGTAAACCACGTAATAAATAACAATACCGGAACGTTAACAACAATTTGCGATCCGCGCTATTTCACAGTTATACGAATGGAGTATTCGAATGCAGCAATTGCTAGACAGCTAGTAGTTCCGTTATTTTGGCAATTATATTTACTTAAAAGCATTTGTTAAAAAATAATTTTCGTAAAAAATATCTTACGTAAAAAAAGATACGTTCGTCTATAAGCGATAGTTAAATAACAATTTTAAAAATTCATTCATTACTAATCTAATATATGCAAGATTATTGATTAATGAAACAACTGATATATTTCTTTGCTCCAAAAATATTAAAATTAAACATTAAGACTCACAATTTTGCAGCTGCAAAACGTGTGTTGCAGCTGCATCTCGGAACATACATCTTCCATGAAGTCAGCTTCACTAGTCGCACTATACACACTCTCGCGACACGACGTTCATGTCCCAACGCGGAAAAAAGTTTACGACGAAACAAAAACTGTATGGTCTCCTCGGATTAATAAATCAAACAACAATCCGTGTAATCGCAACGTGAAAGCAATAATATAAAGTAATGTACAAGATCGTAAATCGTAACGATTCCTGTAACTCACATCCGCGAACGAGTTTAATTACAACAGTTTTAGTATTTTGCGCGACATTATTACACGTATACGTTGTACGATCTCGGTATTTTGCAATATTTGTTTAATTCAACGATGTCGACGTGGAGCGCGGAGAACGACCGATCGAGCGCGAGAACGATGTAAGACTGTTACCTCGGTGTGTCAAGGGTTGCCCGTGTCCTCGACGCGCGACGTTCCTAAGTCAAACTAATGAATCTTGACCTTCCTAAGTGAACAACCAAACTCGCCGAAACTTATTCGCGATGGCATATTGTTAAGAAAGATATAATTTATGAGATATTAAAAACAGACATTCTGTAGTATGAAAATGAAATGTTTGCTCACTATGTGGCCTTCAAATAGAATGATAGCGTATCATCGGAGATGCAAGAATACAAATATTATTTAATATAATATTAAGTTAATGTAAAATTACTAGATTCTTGAAGGAATATTTTTTACTGCTATTTAAATAAAGTTATGATATTTTCATTTAAGTTATAAATTTTTTAATTAGGGATTTAAAAAAATTCGCGATTTCGCAAAAAATACGTAACACTTTGGCCGTTCTAATCTAAACATATATTTCGTCTGAAACTTCACGTTTCCATTATGTTAAATTACTACTTGTCTACATCTATTAGCGCTGTCATTCTCTTTTATTCTCCGTTCGCTTATTGTATAATTCTAGTGACGCGTTACATGAAATAACGAAATATTCGACGCTGACAGAGACCGAGTAATATAGCGATAGCGCGGCATGCAAATCTCCTGATTTCACAGGGATGATGCGATTGCACTTTTCCGCGGCGGGTCCCGCGGCTGTGTCATTTAACAACGAATTAGCGCCGCGGTATGGGAGATTTGTCGGATGTATTTGATAGCGTCACGCGAGATTAAACAATGTTGGCAAACACCT